CCCCCCGCATTCTCTTGAATAGTGGCCGGTTCTTAATGATTTCCTTTTTCTACAGGTGTTTTACAATCTAGGGATGATCACTTTTTTCATGATAAACCTTTGCATGTGGAGGCTTTTTATCCTTTTATGGGAACACTGACACCTGTTGATGAACCGTCAAAGTCAACCCGTCCAACCTCAGGTGAAGTGGAAGGAGACAGACAGCCTGAGTTTTACAAACCTGTGGACAAAGACATCATGGAATTTTTGATGAAGTCCAACCAAGAATCTAGACTGAGGGAACGTCTTCATTCAAATGAACATGCCGGGTTACGGTGGAAAAACGGCGAAGAATATGCGCTGATCAAATATGACAGCACTGGCAAGAAACGCGATAAGGAATTTGAAGAGAAAGCATGGAAAATTCGCTGTTCTGAAATAATCGATTCATTTATTGCTAGTTGCGCCACGAAAGAATTTTCCGTAGACGAAGAGATTTGGGAAGCAGTAGCCGATCAATTACCACAGCTAGAAGGGTTTCTGCCAAAGTTCACAGCGCACGTTAAGTTATTGAATGACTCGCGTACCGTTAAGTTAGTTTGTCAACAATCAAACATGTCAGATTTTGGGGAAAAAGTTGAGGGTCGACTGGGGGTCATTCTGCAGCAAGAAGACGAGAAAAAGCTGGAGAGGAGGACACTGACTGATATAGCAAGCGAGAAGCTACTTCTCTTTCAAAATGCTCGGATTGAGGACATTTTGAAGAAGAAATTTTTGCAAAATATTCAAGTTAAGATCAGTATGGGTAACAAAAACCTTGAAATAAAAACACCCAAGGGATACATGGCATCCGTCATTCCTTATCTCCGACAGCGTCAAGACGAAGTAGACCAAAACTCAATAGCTTTTCCACCGGAAATTATAGAGATACTAAAAACCAAGGCTGGACGAAGAAAGATGACTGAAGAATTGCCAGATGGATGTGCTTTTAACGTTGACGACAGAAGCAAAAAAGTTATTCTTCTTGGGAGAACAACCCCCGAAACCCAGCAAGGCAGAATCAAGGCGAAAGAAGTACTAATAAGTAACCATGATGTCACCTTAAGCGCCAGGGATAACCACCTGATATCTTCAAAGAAGTGGGACGACCTATGTAAGAAGTTGGTGAAACGCCTCACGATCCGCCACAAACGTGAATTGACCTGCATAGCCGTCTTTGGCTTCAAAAAAGACGTAACGGAAGCCATAAAAAGAATGAGGGACTTTCTTAATGAAAAGAAAGCAACAGAAGGTGAAACAAGACTTACTACGCAAATTCATCGACAATTCTTCAAGAATTATTACAAAGACGAACTGCAAAAAATCACGGATGAGCTTTACCATTTTGGTGTTAAAATTGTTGTAGATGAAAGTGGAGAGAGTGTCAAATATTCTGGCAATGAAGAGGGCGTGAAAGAAGCTGAGGAGAGGATCTACTTTCTGCTGGAGAACATCAAAGAAAAGAGTTTCTCAATTTCATTACCTGGTATGCAAACTTTCCTGACTCAGGAAGAGGGAGGGCGTTTGATAGAAACTGTTGAAATGGAGATGAAATGTATCATCAAAATAACAGACGAAGTTGCGGAACAAGAAGATGATGATGCTGACAGTGACAATGATGAACCATTGAGCGACGACAAGGAAAACGAAGAGGAGGTCGAAATCGTACAAACCTTCTCTACCTCTGAGGGGAAAAAGGTCACGTGGAAGATAGGAAATATCACAGAAGATCAGGTTTGTTCCAGATCTGATGTCTCCAAGTTATTTCCTTGCGATACGGAAGGGTAAGATATTACCCTTACATATCATTTTTTTAATAACCTTTTTTTCATACCAGTTCACTTGTTCTGTTGCTCATTTAAATGACTCTTTTACTTCTATAGGGTCTGCTGCCTTGTAAACGTGACTTGGTATCGCTAGGTTTAACTTGTGTGAATTTCATTGCTCTAGTCCATCGTATAACTTTCACTTACCTTTATTATAGGCTGATGTTCTGGTTTGCTCAGTTGGGTCAAAATTCAATCTTGCCATCGGTGCCATTGCACATGCTATGAGTAAAGCTGCTGGTCCAGATTTACAAGATCAGTTGAGAATAAAGACATTGGGAAAACAATTTGGTGAGGGCGACATCGTTCACACTGGCCCAGGAAACCTTAACTGTCGTAATGTAATTCACTGTGTTTGCTGCCCATGGAAAGGAAATCGTGAACAGGAGCAGGTCAGACTTACAATGAAAAGGGCTTAGTTGAATGTTTTGAAACTCAAAATATTGTTACCTTTATGTCATTTTGTGTGGCAATACCTTTGCTGATCATTGTCCTGGATTAGAAAAAATGTCTTGAGATTCCTGTTTTCAAGAAAATTCATACACCTAGCAAAATATAGCGATAAATATTATTAGATGCAATATACAACCCTGGAAATCTTAATAGCCAGGCTGATCGAGTTTTACCTTAGTAAATAACAGTAAAAAGCCTTTAGCTTAAAAGATATGTTATTCAGTATGGAGATGTAAAAGATTCGAGCTACAGAATTCATGCTCCGGTGCTCTACCACTGAGCTATAGTGAGCCAAGGTTTGTGGAGAACACACATCCAGTATACTGTTAGGATTAGCAACAAAGCTACTTAGTTTTAAGGAAACGGGCAGCTTTAATTAGGTTTTTTTTGTATTTCTTTCACAGCTTCTTCGAGAACTGTTTCGGAAGTGCTTCGACAAAGCATCAGAGCTTGGTGCATGTTCTATAAGCCTGCCGCTAGTTGGAACTGGTAACCTTGGTTTCCCATATGACACTGCGGTCCAGATTATGATCCAGGCAGCAGTCGACTACAGCCGCTCAAATCCAGATTCACCTCTGGAAGAGATTAAGTTTGTCGTGTTTGGCGAAGATCAGGATGGAGTTGAAATGTTCACGGAGAAATTTAGAGATTTCAAAGGAGAACAGAAGCCCAGGCTGAAAACTCGAAAACCAGAAGTTCGCAAAAACAAGCCAACCCCTGCTCTGTCTGAATTTTGTTCTAAAGAAGTCTGCGTTGAAGAAATGATGTTAAAGGTCACGAAAGGAGACATCACCGAGGAAAGTTCCGATGCCATTTTTAATATTGTAACTAAGGATCTTAACATGAAATTTGGAAATTTGAGTAGAGCCATCATAGAGGCAAGTGGTAGCACTGTAGAAAAAGAGTTAAAGTCAAAAGCCCCTCAACAGCCTGCTGGATCCGTTGTGATCACATCTGCCGGACGCCTGTCTACAAAGCACATCGCACATATGGTTGTGGGACCTGTAACCAAGAAAAATCTTCAGAGATGCGTTGAGAAAGCACTGGAAAAAGTGGATTCCTCGGGATTGAAATCCGTGTCCATTCCAGCCGTTGGTAGTGGTGGGTTAGGTCAAACTGCGGACGAATCGGCAGAACTGGTCTTCGGGGCAATCCGCACATTTATGGCCAAACCCCCACGTTCAATTCAGGAGATCAGAGTCGTAGTTTTCGACAATTCTGTCACTGCAGCATTCGTGGCAGAGTTGGAAGTAATCCAGCGAGAAATTGGTGACTCTCCCCATCCTGACGACGAAGACGATGATCCAGGATACTTCGAAATGAGCTCAGAAGCATCCATCGATGTATTGACGAGAAGACGGCCCCAGAAGATCGTCATTCATGCTCGGTCAGAGTCATTAGATGCAATTATGGCAGCCTTGAAAGACGGTGTAGAAAAAGCCTGCGGCAAACCTCGCGTTATCAAGAACGAAATTATAAGTCGTCTTTCCAAAAGGTGCATGCGAGAGCTGAAACGGATATCTCGGGCTCGAGATGTGAGACTGGGGCAACCAGAGCCGAACATGTTAACACTGGAAGGACTACCAAAAGATGTAATGGACGTCAACTCAGAAGTTTGGGATGTAATCCAAGAGCAGATGGAGAGAGAACATAAAGAGGAGCGTGCAGAACAGATGTCTAAAACCGTGCAATGGTACTTAGTCAATCCAGCAGGAAAACTCGCTGCTTTCGAAAAAATGGCCAATAATGAAATAGAGTCAGCTTATAAAGAGAAGAAACCGTCCCTTTTATTCACATACAAGGACCTGAAGGCTGAAATCAACTTCGGCAACAAAGAGGTCACTTTCCTGAGAACTGGCGCCATCAAAAAGGCCCTTCGTAAAGATGGTAAGGGCTGTGACACGGCTCCGTATCTTACGTCTCGTCTCTAAGACCGGTTTAAATATAGACCGCCTTAAGAGACGTGTATGGAAATATTGAAAGAGAGTTACATTAAGGGGTTTTACCCATATACTTCTACCTTACTTTGCAAACTTAGCTGATTTCAGAGTTTTACTTTTACAAATCCAACCAATTCTGTAATTTCATCAAATTGTCACACAGTCGAACCTCCCGTAAGCGACCACCCAAAATGTCAAGACTAGGTGGTCACTTACGGGAGGTGGTCGCTTTTGAGAGTCCATACCATATTGGGTCAGAGACTAACCCCATGCGCCAGTTCCCACCTAAGCCTATATAAGAACTTTTAGTAGCCACAAAAATATGTAAGCTTTCCAAGACATTTAAGGTCGCTTCTTTTAAGACTGATAGAGTACTGTGTAATGTATGTGCATACTTTTAATTTTTAAATGTTTTATTCATGTGAGAAGTCAATTTCGAGAAAAACTCCAGTACTTCTGATTGAGAAATTTCCTTCTCTTGTACTACCCAGGAATGCGATAATGTTACAACACCTCGTTATCCAGTTTCCGTTGTATTATCTGTTAAGTGATCGCTTACGGGAGGTTAAAAACAAAGGAAAATTTCAAACCTTTGGCTCTAAAAGTGGTCGCGATCGCTTACGAGAGGTGGTCGCTTACAAGAGGTTCCAAATATAGTGATTTGACTTGGAAACTTTTGGTATTTTTGAAAACTGGTCGCTGAGGAGAGATGGTCGCTTTCGACTGTATGTCAAACATCAATGATATTGTTAAGGCTTTTTTCTGTTATACCAACAGTGCTTCCTCTTCCTGATGAATGGGATCCCCAACCTCGAGACGACCGCGGGAAAGAGGAGATCCTATACATGGTCTGTCTCTCAGAGGACTCTCAAGAATATAAAGCGGTTGAGGAGAAATTCCTTCGTTCACTGAGTGGAAAAGTGGTCATTAAAAAGATCGAGAGAATTCAAAATCCGTCAATGTTTAATTCGTACATGTTGCGGAAACAAACCATGGATGAAAAGAATGGAACCATCGACAACGAACTAGAACTCTTTCACGGAACGAAGCCTGACAGCGTGAAGGAGATCAACGTGCAGGGATTTAATAGAAGTTTGTGCGGCGTTCATGGTATGTACAGATATAAATGATGTAAATATAAGATATAGATATAAATCATGTGAATATAAGATATAAATATAATTGCTTGTAATCAAGTAGTGACTGGATGCAAGGAGAGGATGGATCCTTTTGTATGTGTTTTACAGACCAGTTTTTTTCCCTACATTCTAACTTGTGCCTCTCATTCATACGCATAACCTCCTAGCCTAACCCCTCTTTCATGCTATATGACTTGTAGGTAGAATAGTTTTAGTAATTGTCATTCAAAATGACTTAGCTGCAGTCTTTTACTTTCTAAGGAGTAACAACAAAATTGTACCTCACACAGGTGCAGCGTTTGGCGACGGTGTCTACTTTGCAAAAGATGCTTCTTATTCTTTGACATATTCTCAACCAGGCGCAAATGATCAACGCCGCATGTATTTAGCGAGAGTGCTGGTTGGAAAGTACACTGCTGGCCAGCAACGATTGAAAAAACCTCCTCCCAAAGACCCCAGCAAACCAGAAATCCTGTTCGACTCGGTGGTGAATAGGTCGGAAGATCCGACAATTTTTGTGGTTTTTAATGATTATCATGCCTACCCGAAATACCTAATTACCTTTGAGGAGACCTAAAGGTAGTTGAAATGCCCTTCATTCCGAGCGAAGGGCTCTGACGAAGAGCTAACGCTCGAAACGTCAGCTATTTAACTCTTTACGGTGGCCAATTTATAATTCAACTTAGTTCATATTACCAAATTACCTTACTACCCCCACCGACGCAGCACCACAGTTTCTTTAGAAACTTAGCCCTTGTATTCATATTGGAACAGTAGTTGAATAGGTCAATTAATAAATGGTTAAGGCTTCGTACACCTTAAGCTGGATTTCAATGAAGTAGCACACAAGAATTACTGTTAGTAGAAGAGCTTTGAACGGTGTTATAGCTTTTGATGAAAGAAAATAAATCACTGATGTAAGAAGCTGGAAAATTGACTTTGCGTTGCCTTAGATTTGACCCCTACACACGGTTTCTCCTCCACAAACGATATAATCTAATCATCGCAGCTATTATGCGATTATTTGTCGTTGAAAGTAGTTAGTGCTTGCTGGGATGATAAAAATCACAACAGAAAATGAAAGGTTGATCTTGAGGTTTAAAAAGACGGCATGTCTATTTTAGGTACAACAAGTTCGGGGAAGTTACATGGAAATTTTTGCTCACTTTACCGAAATAGTAATATCACCAAATTCTGAGAAACACATCCGGCACTTCTTAGAAATCCAATCAAATTGAGTGGCGTCTACCCAATGTCTCTTAGACATTTTTGCAAATGTCAATTATTGACTATATATCATATCATGTTCCTTTTGAACGGAAATATCCAAGATTAGGATGCCAAGCTAAAAGAACTTCGCTCCTGTGTCTGTCAACATATGTCAACTTGTTTTCCTGATTGTGTTCAGTTATTTTTGTTCCACCAAGAAAACAATGATCCTAGATACCCCAGTGGCCAAATTTCCGGATGAGAAATTTAGACGACCATATCATCTCTCCCCCTGTTCACTTGGCAGTCATAGCACAATAATAGACAATATACTCAAAATACCTCACTCGTCAAAAAAATGAAAACGTCAAATATTCAAGATAAAAGGTACCGCTTGTAACGCCAAAAAAATTGGACACATGCCTTAGTTGTATTAAAGTGTTATCAACCTGGGTCAAACGAGGGCGCTATTTGTACCAATCGAAACGAGGATAGCTCGGCTAAACAAGCTTGTAGTGCAGTGAACTATTAGATTTCTGGTGAATTTTAACCTAAGGAAACCGCCATTGTCTTTACAAAAACCCGTGGCCTAGTGCAGACCTGCGTTACAGTAAAGATTCGTCTGTTGGCTACAGTCCAAACATACTCGAATGGGTTGCGTGCTTAGTTAAGTATAAATGAAGTCACGTTTTTGTTATTGCAGCATATGACTATCATCAACGATTTTAGGTTTAAAATAGGGCTATTTCCCTATAGATGTGATTTAGGTAAAGCTATATTTCCTTGGGGAAAGGCTGAATGGTACGAAGAATATTAAAATTTAAAGTGTCTCTTATATGCAGAAAAGCTAACATTATTTGATGATTTTGGCGTCAACACAACTTAACATCGCTTCCGCGTTTTCTATCGAAGGACCAACTGACGTAGAAATTCAGCAATAGCTGCTGAAAATGTCAAATCGGACAATTATATCATGAACTGAAATCAGCAATGCGGGCATAGCTGCACAATATACTGTACTGATAAATCGATTCATTAGTTGAATTTTTTGTATTTTATGACCAGCTCTGCTGACAAATTGCAAAGACGGTCTCATGTAAGATAAAGTGGGGCTTAAACTTTAACAATCAGCCTGGCTTAAGCATCTGTTATTGAAACCAAGCAGGAAATTCAATGAAAATGTGATCATGACAGACTGGAACAGCAACATTTATTGACAGCAACAACTATAACACAAAAGTATCTGTTTTGGTGTAATTTAGCACTTCGAAAAAGGTCATGATGGTACGCTGTAAAAATTTCGCTTAGTTCTAATGAGAAATTTTGGGCTTAAAAGGACAAGACCACAAAATAATTTCAAAAATCTCATCCTGCGCGGGAAAACGGGGAAGAAGTAATAATCACATAGCACAGACTTAAAAAATGGCAGAATCTTTCCTCAACATAAATCAGTAACCGCTCGTAAATTATCACATGAGTGGAAACTGAAACAGCAGTTTTAAAAATTTCGATAGGGGTTTTTTTGATCGACTGCTCTAATCTGATGATAGCTTCCCATCTCTCAATCGTCCATCGATGAAAACTTAAGATATCGCTATAGCCGCTATTTGAGGAGGAAACAAACCAATAAGTTAAATTTTCTTCTTCTACTTTATTTAAATAATTTTCTTTAACGAAATCTGTTCCTGCACCCGAACGAAGGTAATACTACACTATATTTCCTGGCCAGGAGAGAGAGAGAGAGAGGGAGAGTAGAGAGAGAATGTGTGTGTCCCTGTAAATGTTGCGTGACAAGCAAGCGGCATCACATGTCACGGAAATTTTCGCGCAAAAAACTGAAAGGTACATTGTCTATAATTGATATTAGCTTAAAAAAACGCGAATCTTACACTTAAGGAGGCTTGATAGAAGTTGGAACAGTTATCATCGAAAGCTTCACGGAATAAGCTTTACTGAATCGTCGACAATTTTTTCCAGATAGCTCAATGGATAGAGCGCTGGACTGTTGTGCGGGAGGTCGAGGGTTCGAGCCCCGGCCCGACCAATACTCAAGGTCTAAAATAATTGAGAAGAATATGCCTCCTTTCTATAACATTAAGAAATGGTTAGATATTCTAGTCTTCTCGGATAGGGACGAATAAATGGAGGTCTCGTCTCCTGCAGGATAGGTAGGAGACGTTAATTTCCCACGCACGAGATTACTGTGTGATGGATGTCCTTCCCCGGGCTGGGATGGGTGGGCTGGGTTTAGGTGGGTGAACCTAGCAGGGGACTACGTGTCCTATTGTTCCTCCACCTGTACAATGTACAAATCTTTAGAAACATTCGAGTAAAAGGCAATAGAATATTCATCTCTTGGATTTTCATCGTTTTTCATCATTTCAGTAATGTCTCTTTTTGCTTGATATTCAAAAGCGCGGTTGTGAAGAATGCTTAAATGACGAGACTTTGCAGAAACCACTTTTAAAGACGACATTCGTCTTTGTAAATTGACGAAGTGGTTTGTGAAAACTTTGAGATTGCGCAGCCTGGTATTGCCAGCTTCTGCTCAAAGGGAACACTCGATAGTCTGATCAAGACTGTGTTGAATCAGGAAAGGTGCTGTGTTCTCGAAATTCCTCGAGCGTGCGATATGCTCCGCTTTCAGTGAAGCAGCGGTCGCTGGTGCAAGTTTGCAGGTAGTGCCGCTGGCGTAGCAGCTGGTGTTGGTGGCTTAAATGCAAGTCTACGGGTAGGTACCCCATTTTCTTATTTGGATAATTAGAGGTTAGGAATTTTACAATCTACAGGCTCATTTGTTTTTACTTTCCAGATGTTTTTGCTGTCCAGATGCTTTTGTTCTTCCTATTTATATCTGTTTCTACAAGATTTTCTCAACTTTGTCATGTTCTTTGACGGGTTAGCAATCCTATCGCTCTAAGACTTCGGTTTATACTTGTACCGTGGCAACAGCGTTTCCTTAAGTGACCAATCTTGTTCGGTCAAGATGGCTGGATGTTAGCCTCGTTCCGTTTTTCTTTTTTTGCGTTTTTAAGGACCGAGACGAAGTCGAGGTCCATAGGAACGCCAAAAAGAACTCGACCAATATCCAACCATCTTGACCTCACGCTTGGTCAATAGAAACGCCAAAAAGAACTCGACCAATATCCAACCATCTTGACCTCACGCTTGGTCAATAGAAACGCCAAAAAGAACTCGACCAATATCCAACCATCTTGACCTCTCGCCTGGTCAATAGAAACGCCAAAAAGAACTCGACCAATATCCAACCATCTTGACCTCACGCTTGGTCAATAGAAACGCCAAAAAGAACTCGACCAATATCCAACCATCTTGACCTCACGCTTGGTCAATAGAAACGCCAAAAAGAACTCGACCAATATCCAACCATCTTGACCTCACGCTTGGTCAATAGAAACGCCAAAAAGAACTCGACCAATATCCAACCATCTTGACCTCACGCTTGGTCAATAGATTTATCATCTACGGGTTTATATCGAATTAATTTGATGGCCTGCTCCCAGTTGGCTTGTTAGCTCAATTGGTAGAGCGCTGCACTAGTATCGCAGAGGTCAGTGGTTCGAATCCCGTACAGGCCTGAAATTTTTTTCAGGTCTGATTTCCACTATTGCTTAATTGATATGATTGTGCGCTACGATTAATTATCCAGCAAGACACACCAAACAACAAAGAATTTTTTTACAATGAAAATCCAAGTCCGGGAAGATCTTCCAACGTGTCAGTAGATATATAGAACTGTGGTCTCCCAGGGTTTCCCGTTCTGAGAATTTTACATTTACGTCGAGAAATTGATGAAGGGTTTACTGCTACAGTTTTGAGATGATTTTCAAGAGCCCGTAGTACTTCTGCAAAAGCAGTAGCTAGAGATTCCCACTCGATCCGATCATGCTCAATGTCACTTAAGGCTATAGAACTCAAAAGACTAACGGTTCGATCGAGAACTACAGATTGTGCTTGCAAGTCATTGATATCCGTTTCATTTTTATGTATACACTGCTCTGTTCTTTCGAGCACTGACGATAAAAATTTTTTTATAGTCTTTTTTCCCGTCAAATTCTAACTCTACGTCCGCCATGATGCTAGTTAAAACTTACCGCACGAAAACATAAGCCTGAAAGATCCCGTATGCTAGTTATCATTTCCGGTCACTAACCGGAAGCAATTTTGAATGTATTTTTTTTCATTGAATTGACCTTGAATTTTCATTGAATTGAACTTGAAATTTCATTGAATTGAACTTGAATTTTCATTGAATTGAACTTGAATTTTCATTGAATTGAACTTGAATTGAAATTGAAAAACATTGAATTGAAATTGGATTTCATTAAACTCAAATTGAATTTTAGTATTGAATATTGCTACAATTGGCTTGCCATAATTAATCATATTTCCGCGTAATAATTGTTTAACAGCACCAAATGGATGGTGTAACATGGTTATCAAAACAACACTAAATATAAACCGGCAGTCGAAATCCCACAAGGATCAACGAACGCTTTTCATTCCACTAATTTATTCGTGTTTTTCTCTTTGTCATGTTCCCACCAATAACGTAGCTCCATTCTCTACCTTTAAAAGCACACACAACTCACAATTCCTCCATTCGCTCCGACGAAAGGCTAACGCTCGAAACGTCAGCTTTTGTAATCGTTACGGTGGCCAATTTACCACTTCAACTTTGTTGATATATCCAAATTATTTCGTTACTCCCTCCGACGCAGCCCCAAACAGTTTCTTTCGAAACTATCAACCNATAATTAAGATCATCGTCTTCTTCACCACACGGAGAGGATTCTGAGGTTTCTTTTTGGATTGCGTTTAGTTCCGCTAAGTACGCACAAATGAAGGAAACATCAAAAACAACTACTCTGACCTCACGAATGGAATTGAATGGTTTTGCGGTGCACACACGGATCGCCCCAAAAACAACTTGTGCCGATTGCTCAGCGGTTTGCCCTAGTCCTCCGGTACCAACTGCTGGAATGGACACTGACTTCAAACCCAGTGCATCCACTTTATTGAGAGCCTTCTCCACGCAGGTTTGAAGACATTTCTTTGTTCTTGGTCCCACAACCATATGGATGATGTGTATTGCAGACAAGTATCCAGCAGAAGTAGTCACGATATCTCCTGGGGGCTGAGGTGCCTGGGACTGTAACTCGTCTTCCACGGTGCTTCCGCTAGCTGCCAGGATAGCACTGCTTAAGGTCCCACTTTTCATGTTCAGATCTTGAGATATTACGTTACATATGGCATCTGATCTCTCCTTGGTTATGTCACCTTTCAACACCTTCAACGAAAGGTCGCCGATTTGAACCTCTTTGTATTCAAAGTCAGGCGGAACAGGTTTAAGTTTGCTTTCGCGAATCTGTGGCTTTCGAGGTTTCACATCAGGTCTGTTTTCCTTCTTAAACTCTTCAAATTTCTCTTCGAAGGTTGCTATCCCTTTCTGATCACTGCTAAACACGACAAATCTAATTTCCTCCAAGGGAGATTCTGGATTGGCGTGACTGTAGTCGACAGCTGCCTGGATCATAATCTGGACAGCTGTGGCATAGGGAAAATTAAGGTTACCGGTTCCAACAAGAGGTAGGCCAATAGAGCATGCACCAAGCTCCGAAGCTTTGTCAAAGCACTTTCGAAGTAGATCCTGTAGAAGCTATGATCAAAAGAATAAAAAAGAGAAACACGAGTCAAACAGGACAATTGGTGCTGGATATATGTCAATGTAAACTCCGTCAGGATGAAACCAACAATACAATTTTCTCATTGGTACACAAGGAAAGTGAAAGAAGCAATTTACATAAAACTCAACCCAAACAACATAAACAGGGATATCGGAGTTGAAATACCGGAAGAGTGGATGCCTACAATACGAAAACATCAAAACCAACGACGCGCGAAAAATCAGCGAACGCCCGAGGAAACCATGGTACATGGAAATAATAGCCGGATCGAAATGCACCAATCACAACAGACCCCCATAATACATAATGCTGTGCCGCAGCCAGTCCACCCCATCGCCTGAAGAAGACTTGCAGTAGGCAGTCGAAACGTCACGTTCTACATCTAGTGACTTTGTTGTGATACAACAGGACAAATTTATATTGTCATCCAGCTACCACGATGAACAACAACCTATTTCCATAACAATGTTTGCGTCGTTGCCAAGTTTTGACCAACGCCCAAAGAAACACTCAACTCAAAAGTCCTTCCCGTACCTGCTCGTCTTGAGGATTTCCTTTCCAAGGACAGCACACACAGTGGATAACATGACGGCAATCCAAGTGTCCTGCCCCAGTGTGGACAATATCACCTTCGCCCAGCGTCCCTCCTGTCGTCTTCTTTCTCAACTCTTCTTGCAGCTCCGGCCCTGCAGCTTTGCTAATGGCATTGGCAATTGCACCGATCGTAAGGTTAAATTTTGATCCCACTGAGCACACCAAGATGTCTGCCTGTAGTAAAATAAGTTCAAACATTAACTTACTGGGTTTATTGAGTGCATATCTGTGTCTTCATTTGGAGAATGAAAGGGAGGGTTAAGAAAGAAATTTAAAATAAACGCATACTCCATTTTGGATCTATTTAGAAACGTACTCAGTTGTCCACTCATTATGAAAACTTGAAAAGTTCATTTCACTGGTGTACCTAAGATGATAAATGTTCATTTGTATCAATTAAAGAGGTAAACGTTTCTTGTTTGATATCTTTTTTTCTATGAGACTACCAACCTGTTCTTCCTCAATATTTCCACTCTTCCAGATCACCTTTTTTCCCTCCTTGGTAAAAAATGTGTCGACATCATCAAGGTCCTCCTCACCTCTGCTGCTGATGCTCGAAGGCTCATCACTGTCACTTCCTTCCATTTCGTCCTCAACTTGCTCCTCGTCTTCCTCCGCAATGCTGATGATACACTTGTTTTCTCGTTCCACGGTGTCAACTAAACGTCTTCCCGCATCTTGCGCCATGAAGTTTCTCATGCCAGGTGTCCGAATAGGGAAACTCTTTTCTTTGATCTGGTCTTGCAGAATATAAATCCGTTCTTCAACATCCTTCACGCCGTCGTCTGTTCCAGAATACTTCATTCGATCGCCACTTTCATCTAAAGAAATCTTCACCGCACAGGGGGCGAGTTCTTCCACAATTTTCTGAAGATCTTCTTTGTAGTAGTCGGTGAAGAACTTGCGATTGAGAGGAGAATCGAGCCTGAATTCACCTTCGGTTGCTTTCTTTTCATTAAGAAAGTCTCTCATTTTCTTTACAGCCTCTTCAACGTCGTTTTTGAACCCAAAGACAGCAATGCAAAGCAATTCACGTTTTTGACGGATCGTTAGGCGTTTCACTAACTTCTTACAAAGCTCATCCCACTTTGGTGAAAGCATGAGGTCATTATCAGCTTCGGTTACCTTGAGACTACGGTCATCTAACAGGACTGTCTCTGCCTTTTTTCTTCCTTCACACGTGTGAGAAAGTGTTTTCCCGAGGAGGATAACTTTTTTGCTTTTTTCATCGACATTAAAGGCACATCCGTCTGGAAGTTCCTGCGTCATCTTTCGTTTTCCGACTTTTGTCTTCAAGATTTCTAAAATTTCTGGGGGCTGCGATATTGCGTTTTGATCAATTTCGTCCAAGCGCTGCCTAAGATAGGTCATGACCGATGGCATGTGTCCCTTGGGAGTTTTTATTAGAAGGTTCCTGTTACTCAAGTCAATCTTAAGTTGAAGATCTTGATTAAACACCTTCTTCAAAACGTTCTCAAATCCACAATTTTGAAGAAGTTGTAGCTTTTCAATGGCGATATCTGTGAGCGTCTTCTGATCCAGCTTTTTTTCGAGTTCCTCCTGTTTGATATCCTTTAAACGCCTATCGAGGATTTCAGCAAATTCTGGCAGGTTTGTCTTCTGGCAAATCAACTTAACGGAGTGGGACTCCTTCAGTAGCTTCACTTGCGCTGTGAACTTCGGAAGAAGGTTTTCCGGTTTTGGCAACTGGTCAACCACTCCTTCCCAAAATTCTCTGTCTACTGGAAATTCTCTTGTTGTGGATTCGTCAATAAATTGGTCGATTATATCGGAACATCTCTTTTTCCAGGCTTCCTCGTCAAACTCCTTGTCAACTCTTTTGCCTGCTGTGGTGTCATATTTGATCAGTAGATATCCCTCATCGTTCGTCCACCTTACGCCGGCATGTTCACTCGAATGAAGACGTCCTCTCAATTTGGCCTCTTGGTTGGACTTCATCAAAAACTCCACGATGTCTTTGTCTACAGCCTTGTAAAACTGGGGCTGCCAGGTTCTTCCCACTTCACCCGAAGTAGGACGTGATGACTTTGACGGTTCGTTGACAGGGAGCAGTGTGCCCATAAAAGGAAAGAAGGTCTCAACATGTAAAGCTTTTCCATCTATGAAGTGATCTGTCTTGGTAGATTTTTTCACACCTGAATAGGTTGAAAATTTTTAGGTAGAATTAAATGTTCAAGGCTTACAATTTGAAACTTCCGCACTTTTCTGCAGTAGGAATACTAATGGGAATACATTGCAGACGGGTTAAACTCACGTGGACAAAAACGCACGATGTTACAGCACTCCACACGGTAACCATTTTGTTTGAGATGTTGAGGCCAGGGAAAATCAATTGTGCTTATCGACTACCTAAAGGATATTTGTGTAAAGAAAATCAAACATGGGGGGTGATATGAACATTTCCGCAGCTGGTAAAATACGTAACTATTCAGTAAAAAATATATGGCAAAATAGATATCCGGGAGGCTTACTTTTCTTTTCTTTGAAGTACACAATAGCTCTCTTCTCCTTTCCATTTTCATCCCATGGGCTGAAGGCAACATCTTCTAAAGAACCCCAACTAAAAAAGTACTCTTCCACTTTTTCTTTAGTTGTAATCTCAGAAAATCCACTCACAAAGATACTTTTACATTCAGGAGCTCTTTCAATTGTAACGGTTACACCTTCAAGCGGCCTTTTCTTCGATTCCTGAATAATCCTTGAAAAATCTGAAAAAATTGCCGATGGGATTTGATGAGTTACTTTCAAAGCAAAGACTACTAAGGAAGTAAGCTCATCGCAAGGAATAGGAGTGGTTGTTTACCCAATTGTATAGTCAAACCATTCAAAATGCTCTGTACAAATTGGGTCTTTCACAGACACACGACCTAAATAAGGTCATTTTCGGTCTTACTTGGGAGAGCAAGGAAATAAATTTTATATTTTTATTTTGTTTGAGCTGTAAAAATAAGTAGTTCGGTAATGTTACCCAATCCCCTCATATAAACAAGCCTGAAGCATGAAAGGTGTAAAAATGACAAGAAACTCGACAGGCGAGATAAAGGACCATTATGGCGGGGCTAAAGAGGTGCTATCACTTACCTGAAATTTTGTCCGTGTTTAGCGTGACTATGGCTTTTCCATTCGGTTTGAACCATTCCACGCGATTAACATCATAACCACTGATTCGTTCTATGTAATTCTTCACAGCATCCGGTGTTGACCTGAAATGTAAGCCAAGAATATACAACTTGTTCCGTTCGTATCTGATGTCTGGCTGCGTAAATCCTAAGGAAGCTGGATCGAGGCGTTGACGTGGCTTTGCTCCGGCTTGGTGACCAGGCCCTGTAATGAAACATCATCAAAACTGGTAATTAAAAGCGGGTGGAAAAGATCCGAGATATAAGAATGACCCCTTCACGCCAGACATAATTCTGTTTCTTTATTGAGAAGTTCCAAAGGATGGGTTCATCTTGAATTAACCCTACCCCATCAGCTTCCTGTCCAAATACACTTGGAAAAAAAAAAAACCACTCCACCAAGGGCTAGGAGTTCGACGACACCAAAAATTATATTTCATTAACACCAGTGCAAATGTAACTTTTAATCATAGTACCAGAAAGTACTCTACCGACTGAAATTGTCGTTGGATTGGAAAATTATCTGAAATTATTCCAGTACGAGTACATCATGAAAATGTCCAATGTGACGATGATATACGAAAATGAACGATAGAATCGTGGTCTCATACCTCCTCTTCCTTGATGTCCTCCACGAAAAGCTCCTGAACCCCATCCTCTTTTTCCCCTGCTCCCTCGGCCGCGGTCGCCGCGCCCTGAAAACGCCCCTTTATTTTCTTCCCTCTTTTGAACATTTGGTCTATGTGTCTGAACTTTACGGGAGGGTTTTCCATGAGGCGTCTCCGATGCATTCATCTTGTTACAGCCTCCACCTCCTCGCTTTTGTGCTGAAATACAACATGACGTTAACTTTATTAAGGGAATGAATGAATCTGAAACGTTGCCATGTGTTGATTAATGGCTTCCAAACGTTTGAGGCTTGGCCCTTCATCAGTGGATAGAACAATTCCGTTTGAATTCTGTGAAAGGTTCAAGCTGTATGCGACATGAATTGAAATTGAAATAACAAGGTTTAGTGCACAAGGAGCGTTAGGAAGAGAAAGTCAGAATTTTGGCCACGTTCACTAACAGATCAATGATGGGATCATGATCCACCACCAAGTTGTCATCAAAATCGTTGCCTCAACATTCAAAAGTACATGGACGCGCAAACTGTCCAAAGCAATGTGACTGCAACGAGAACTGAGGCTTCATTAACGGTTACTAAGCCATATCTGGCCACGAGAACGTCTTAGGTGTAAGTCTCACCAACTTCCTTTGGTGGTATGGAATGCTGACCTCGCCGCACCACCTGCCAAGTGTCTCGTTCAGACCGGTATGGGAATGTGTTACCCTGATTGCGACTCTCGTCTGTCGAGTTAGCACTTTCTTTGTCCTTCCCTTGATCTTTTTCCAGAGAGCTGTTAGTTCCGTTTTTGTCTTTAAGAAACAACAACATCGTGAGAGACATACTTGTTACATAATAGTTCGCTTTCGTCCAAGTTTCCGATCTAAGTATAGGTCCCTAGAAGAAAAACTGAGTAAAGCTGGTTTTACGATTGTTTCCAGTGTAACTCTTCGTGTCGTGTGTATTAATAAACACTTGTCAAACATTAATCAGGCATTAAGGAAGGATTTTCTCCCACTTAACACGAACATAGGACGAAAAAACTTTGGATCCCTCGCGAGGAATCACCCCAGACCTTTAAATTTCTAGGTTCTAATGCTCTTCCACTGAGCTACAGAGATTCTATGGTAAGCAAGGCCATTATTGGGTTTCATATGCGACAAGGGTCCCAAATACTGTTAGGATCAGTGAGGTCATGATCAAAAGTGCTCGATGCGTACATGAATTAAGAAATATGGTTCAACGCAAACCATCTCATTTTCGATGACTGGACCAAAATTTACCATCTTTCGAGTTTTCATTAGCTATATGTTCCATACTACTTTCAGGAAAAAGTCTAGGTATCAAGCCATCAGTTTGAGCCATCTGTACTAAGTCAAAAGCTGATGTTAAAAAAAGTGCTTAACATAGCAAACATTTTGACTCCTACTTGGTTTTTGTTCCAGATAACATCTTACCTTCCATCTTAGATTCCTCAGATTCTAGGCTCGTACCGCTGTCATTCCTGGTGTGTCAGCGTGTTCGTCTTCCGGGGGGTGAGTACTAGAAGGACCATCCAATGAATTATCTAAAACTGGAAAATATCCATGCTGTATTGATTCTTCTGATTCGCTCGTTTTCGCAAACCTGCCCACTGAAGATTTTTATGTTATGACTTTCAAGCAAAATTATCTCAGAAAAGCGGGGGGGGGTGGTATATAGTCACCTCAAGACCCCAATAGCCACGCCTCTGAGCCTCTGAGACTTGGTTTACACTAGAGGAGAGTTTTCCGGATTCGTAAATGTTTCTAGGTGGGCTGTTCACCAAGGTATCGTTCAACAACTCTGAAGTGAATATTTCCATGAACTTTCAGACTAGGCTTACACTAGAGGAGAGTTTTCCGGATTCGTAAATGTTTCCGGATTCATCAATTTTGGAGTATTCGGATTCGTAGGCGTTTACACTGAAAGGATATTCGGATTCCTGACCGTTTACATACAACGACAACTCCGGGAACATTCGAAATGGAATGGTTACCAAGCCCAGTGTTTTTTCGTCGTTCGATCGACAAAGTGAAAATGCCTCCCCAAAAAAGGCTAGAATAGATCCAGATGCCACTGAGGCAAATTTGAGTTGGACAGATGCCAAGCAGTCTACGTCGTCGGCGATTAAGTGTGGCTGACGTTAAACTTCCTTGCAATAATAATTTGCGTTTCTTCAGAAATACTGCGGTACACATGATAAAATTTATCGCCTGAACCTGCAACAAGATTAGGCAACCGGAGACCGCCAGCAATGTTAGCACCAGATCCATTTTGGTTTCACCGCAAACTCAAAAGATTGCAGGTGGAAATAATATCCGGATTCGAGAAAAAAAGCGGTTACACGACAAAACTTTCCGGATTCAAAAGTTATCGGATTCAAAGTTCCCACTTTAAATTCCGGATTCAAAATCTCCGGAGACACGGCCAAACCGGGAAGTTTTATTTCGGATTCGTCCACTTTCGTGTAAACGGCAGAATGAATCCGGTACTAAAACGTTTCGGATTCATCATGAATCCGGAACAATTTCCTCTAGTGTAAACCTAGTCTGAGAGGAGGTATTTGAATCTTTACTAGAGATTGAAACCATGAAAATTGGGTACCACTCCCTTGCTTTTCATGTAGAGATTTACAAGTAAACAGTGCCCTCCCTTAATTTGGGTAAAGAAGTAAACGCTGAGGGAAGAAAAGCACGCAGGTGAACACACACAAACGAAAACGGACCCCCCCCCCCTTAGCTCAAAAGTCTGTATCCGCCACTGGTAAACCCCACTCTTAGTCTTTGAGTTAATATGGTGACCCCTCTCCTGCCCCCCCCCCCTAAACAGGAAATTCTCATTGTAATGTTCTTAGGAGGAAGTTCAAGCAACGCCCGTATTTAAGGGATGCCCCCTTTCCCATAGGAATGGGTACACTTCCCACCGATAAACAAATAAACTTGATTGATTACAAATGATCAGTTTATGTCGCTTTTCCAGTTATTGAATTATTCAATCAATTTTCCTCATCATTTATTTTCTTCATAATTCTTGCATCTTATTGATGTTCCGGGATGTTCTGGGGGGAATGTCCCATGTTTCTAATTTTATTTAAGGCCAACGAAACACACTGTGAATACATTACAAATAACTGACAAGATAAAATCATTTGAAGGGGTTTTCCCTTTAGTAATTTTCATCTCCATTGCTTTCACTTTCAACGAAGTTCATTAAACTTGTGAATATTACACCAAACAACAAACCCGTCGAGCTTAATCTCGTTCAAGGACAAAAATTACTCATTGAAGTCGAAAATTAAAGCCCTCACTTAAAAATAGCATTACAGAAAAGTAAAAGACATAATAAAATGTCATGTTATTCAAAGTAGGTTTCGAAACGTTTGAAATTCAGAGTTATCCATTTGGGTCATTTTTACTATTACAATTTTGACCAGTACGGGCCTCCATAATTTGTTATTCTTTCGAAAAAATCTCCGGTGAAGCCTTTCCAAACTTAAATTTAGAAACTGCCCGCAAATTGCTAACTCGCACAGTTTCTACCAAATTTTAGCAGCTTCAAAACAGATATTCAACGATATGAAGGCTCAAACGGCAAATGAGTGAAATACGATTGACAAGAACAACTTACACGAGGTCTGGTTCTTCTCTCTTTCGTATGAAAGTTTCGAGTCAGGGCACCTTTCTGTAATTTCTTCATGAAAAAATATGGGTCTCAACCAAATGTAACCTTAACCAAGTGATCACTTGAACATTAAGTTAATTCATAATTTAAATAATTTCTACGACCAACCAAATCGTGGCATACATCGAAAATATATCCCTTATTCCCGTACCGTTGTGCAAGAAGCATGGAATAAATCGTAACGATTGAAACTCACCGTTATGAAAAAAGCAATCAAGTATTTTCTGTTCGGGAATATCAGCATAAATCCGGGAAAACGCTGTAAACTTTGGTTGAGTTATCCAGTCGAGAAACTGCGAATCGATGAAATTCCTGTCTCATATTGTTTGTTTCTACGATGTTTCAAATCGCTTACCTTAGAAGCGCTGGGGACTCACCCATGGTGTAACCTCCCTTTCCGAGAAAACAATCAAACTT